AGTTTTCCCTGCCATAGAACGTCATGCTTCGGATAGAACTGAAGGTAGCTGGGAGGTGGGATCGCTGCTTGGAAACACACTGGGTATCGGGTTGGGTTTTTTTTTCCCTTCCACATGTGGTAAGCAATTGCATTTGTGCATCATTTGGGGTATTATTATTATTACTACTATTATTATTATGATTCTTTTCCTTTGTTATCCTATTAAACTGTCTTTATCTCAACCCATGAGATTTTTTTTCCATTCTCCTTTCCATCCCTTTGTCGGGGGGAGAGGCAAGTGAGCGGCTGTGTGGTGCTCAGTTACTGGCTGGGGTTAAACCAGAACAGGTAGAAAGAACAAGAAACCAAATCACCATGAGACAGACCTGCAAAGCAGCAGACAACCTCTACATTGTGTTCGCAGTCAGACTTTTGTCTCTATACTTGCTTTCCCTCTGTCTGCAAAATTCTTAAAGCCATAAAACCAAAATAAAAGGCAATAGTGAAAAACAATTTTGTGTTGGACTCTGAAGCTTTTTGAACTTTCGCTGTGTCATTCAGATTAATTCAGATACCGCTAGTATCACAACATCTGATTTGTGTTGGTTAGCTACTCAGAATTTTAAGGCTTTCGTTTAGCTAACACTTCTCTGGGCCACCATTTTAGCTATCAAGTTACCTCCTTCTTATGAATAAATGATGGTACAAAGCAATTGCCTCCAGCACCGTGATGCTACTTTCATATGATGGACACTGGGGGGGCATACTTGTGAATAATGAAGTGCCATTCCTTGTAATTGGAAAGCAAATGTGTGCCTGTACAACACAGTGTTTTAAATATTAGAGGACCTGAGAGGTAAAAGTCTAACTTAACACAAATCTGCTGCGCATTTTGGCATTTACACTAACAGGTAAGCCATTGGTTTGGCTGACAAAAAAGGTGTGATTCATGGACAACTACAAGTTATAAATTCAGAATCAGCATGAATGAAACAACTTTGCTCCCAGGCAAAAAAAAAAAAAATAATCTATGGGATTTTTGGAAGAGTCCTTCCCTTCATGCTGCCACCCTGGGTCTGGTCACAACAGTTGAAAGTTACCTCTGACAAGTAAAATGAAATTAGTGATACAGCAGCAGATGAACAGGTACTCACATCTTAAAACTCGTACCAATGAGACCAAATGAGCACTCTTTAAAAACTGGAAATCATAAAATAAAATTGGTTTTGGTGTGGGAAGCCTGGAGTATAAAAAAATTCTGCATTTTTTTACTGTGTAGATCTAACAAAGCTTGGAGGCTTCTTTTGTTTCATTGTTCTGCATTGATGTTTCTTCAAGCATACTGCTATTACCCAAATACATCTGTCATTTCCACATACCTTGTAGTGGAAGAGGAATAATCCA